TTTATAAAGATAAAACTAGGAGTAATATGAATTCATAAAAAAGTTGGAATTTTTGCTTCCTGGGAAATAGGATGATGATTTTGATGATGGGCTTAGGTTTTAACCTCTGCTTTGTGTGATAGAGTACAGATTACCTTTTGGAATACAGACTATCTGACAGAAGTGGAGATATTAAATGAATTGATAGGTGTCTGGGTACATGTTGAGATTATTCTATTATACTGCTATGTAGTTCTAACTATAATGCATATAAGTAAATAGTCTATTTTAATATTTTAGCTTTTATGTTGTTAGGCTTGAGGTACATATGCACCTTTTCTCTCCATATGTGCATTTTGTCTGCATATATGTCTGTGCACCACATGCATGCCTGGTGCACTAAGAGGACATTAGCTCCCCTGCACTGGCTTTGGAGATGGTTGTAGCTGTCATGTTAGTACTGGGAATGGAACCTGGATCCTCTGGAAAAGCAGCCAGTACTTTTAACCTCTGAGCCATGTCTCTAGGCCCTGAACATGTATTTTTAATGTACTTGCTTTCATCAATCCTGAATCTTCTGGTAGTTCATTGTCTGTAATTTCTGTAATATAGTGGACACTAACTGCTGCCTGTCTCACTCCTGTGTGGAGATCAGATGCAGCTATTAGGGTGGAAATCTGAAATAAACCCTTTCTTGAAAAGCAGGGACCCAAATGTGCATGCTTATGTACACTCATTCAAGCTCATGTGGAGGCCAGAGAAGGGTGCCGGGTAAAGCCATCTCTTACTGCTTTGTACCTTAGTTGTATGAGGCAGAGTTTTTCATTGAGCTCTAAGCTCACCAATTCACGTTGGCTGGCTGGCCAATGAGCTCCAGGGATCCACTTCATCTTGGGTGACAAGTATGTGTGGGGTTACATGTATGTGTGGCTATGCCTGCCTTTATGTGAGTGCTGGGGATTTGAACTCATGTCTTCTTGATTTCACAGCAACCACTTTTACCACTGAGCCATGTCCCCAGTCCTGCTTGTCTAAATATAAAAAGGTTGTATAGGAGATATCATAGTATAATCTTTTGTGTTTGCTGCTGGGGGATTGAACCTAGGGCCTTATAAATACTAAACACACACCTCAAGCAAAACAAAACAATCCCATCTCCCAGATGTATTCTTCCTGTGAGCCCCTCTTACCATCAATCGTTCTCAGTTTCCCCTTAATTTATATTTGCTTACTTAAAAAAAAAAAGCTACAATTGAGCTGCACTATTCAGATTTTAGAGTTCATGTTGGGATATAAGTAAATTCAGGCACCAATATATGACTCTACCTTTAGTCTTTTACCAAGGTCTTTTAAGAAACTATGATAGACCCTTAAGCCCTCTTTCTTTTAAACCAAGGTCACCTGAAATGGTAAAATTCAAGTTAAGCTCCTCTTTGGTGCATATAATAAGTTGCTATGGCTCTTTTTCAGCTTTTGACACTTGTATATTGTTTCTTTATGGATTTACACATTTTCTTTAGACAATGTTCATTTATATATAGTTAACTATTTTTTTTTTTTTGCTGATGAGTCAAGTTGTAAACACTTAACTGTATATTTTATTGGAAAACTATTTTTCTTACAATATATTCTCATCGGTTTCCCTAGCTCCTTCTCACCTCCCTGCCCACCCAACTCCACTCTCTTTCTTTTTCTTTCTTTTTAGACAACAAACAAAACAGTTGAAGAATAACAACAGAAACACGGGAAACACAGACATGCACACAGATACACACAAGCAAAATCCATAAATACACTGTAACATGTAAGCAAAAGCTCAGTAAAGTAAAAAATGTCCCCAAAAAGCAATTCAAGATTAAAACTCTAGCAAAATACTGTTGCATTCATTTTGTGTTGGTCATCTACTGCAGGGCGCGGTCTTATCCTTAAGTGGTTAATATACCCAGTGAAACTTTGGAGAAAGCTACATTTTCCTTGGCAAGCGTTGTCATTGGGAGAGAGAGCTTTTGGGTTAGGGATAGGAGCTTGTGTCTACTTCCCCTCCCAATGCTGGGACCCCATCTGGCTTGAACCTGGGCAGGCACCTGCAATGCTGCCAGTGCCTAAGTTTGTATGTGCATCAGTCCTGTTGTGTCTGAAAGACACTGTTAACTTGGTGGTTTCCATCACCTCTGGCTCTTACAATCTTTTCACCTCTTTTCCTGAGCCCTAGGGAGAAAGTTTGATAAAGTCCTGTATTGGACTGAGTGGTGAACACTCTTCAAGTTAGTAATTGACTTTTTGTGTCTGTGTCTGTGTGTTGTATGATGTGACTGTGTGGCGTGTTGTATGATTTGTTGTGGGTGTGTTGTATAATATGTTGTGTGTGTCTGTGGTGTGTTGTGTGATGTGTCTGTGTGTTGTGTGTGTGTGCTGTATGATGTATTATGGGTATGTTTGTGGTGTGCTATGCATGATGTGTTACGGGTGTGCTGTATGTGTTATGGGTGTGTTGGTGTGCTGTATGATGTATTATGGGTGTGTCTGTGGTGTGTGTATGATGTGTGTGCGTCTGTGTGTTGTATGATGTATTATGGGTGTGCCTGTGTGGTGTGCTGCATGTGTTATGGGTGTTTCATCATGCACATGTGACAGTTCAAAAAGAAGCGTGTGCAATCACAAGTAGGTCCTGGGCTCTGAGCTAGGTCGTCAGGTTTGTGCCGCACACACTTCTTTCTGCCTGCTCAACCCCGAGAGTCCCGGTTTCTCAGATTTTCTTTGTGTGGATCAGCAGTTCCCCTTATATCTATCTCCCTGTAATGTCATAGTGCTGTTGTCTACAAAGACAAGTTTGTTAGATAGCCTGTCAGTTCTGCTTTTTCCCTAATCTAGAACATTTCTATGTTAAATTTCTTTTATTTTGTTTCTATGTCATCTGTTTTTTGTCTTAATTCCTTCTTGAGGGGATAGCAGAGGGTCCCCTAGTTTCTACTTCTTTTGAGAAAGAAGTATTTTAGGCATGAAAAAATAATATAGATAGTACATTTTGACCATATAATTTGGATATTAGCATGAGCGACTAGAGATTTATACCTTTGAAATAATTTGAAAAACTTGAAGGCTTTAAGAAATGATTCTAGTGTTGCATTTATGAAGTTTAGTATTAGTCTGAACTTCCTACTAGAAATCTCACGTTGGCACTACTTTGTTGAAGTTCTTTATATTTGTTCAGACTAAAGGTGCCTGCTGATTATCTAGACCTGGCTGTGTGCTGCATGCTTGGTGTCTGTGTGGCACCACGCACTTCTGTTTTCTGCATCGTTTCACTGCTTTTCTCATCTTCTGTTCATTTTCTTTTCCTTTCTCATTTCGGTCCCAAACATCTTTCTAAATGTTAGTTGGATTATTATTTCTTCTATAAAATTGTGAATTATCTTTATTTTCTAATTTTTTCCTCTCCTAGGTCCTACCCTCGTTCCATGGTTAAAATCCCTTTTCTCCCCTTATAACTGTATCTTCCTTCCCCCTCCATTTTTCCCTCTCTCACTCCCTCCATCCTATCTTTTTGAGGCAGAGTTTTGCCATATAGTTCAGACTGACCTCCAAATGCTTTCTAGCCTAGGCTGGAAATACTTGAGATATCCCAGATAGCCTCCTGAGAGTTGAGGCTATAGGCATGGACCACCTGCCCAGTTACGTTGCTCAATTTTTTTTTTTTTTTTTTTTTTTTTTTTTTTTTTTTTTTTTGGTGTGGCTCCCTTTATTTTCTATATTTTTCTGAGTTTTGTTTTTATTTGATTTTTATTTCCAGGTTAGACATTTGTTTCAGTTGTATTTTAAATACTCTTTGCTTATTCATATTTAATGGTAAGCCAGTAAGGGGCCTTAACTGGGAACATTGTATGTTGGATAAAGTTATTACTGCCTGGCTTAGCTGTACACCAAGGTGTCTAGTGACACTGTCCATATTTTGGGATTTTTTTTTTTTTTGAGTGCTTCCTGCACATGGTGAAATGTTTTTCTGTATTCTGATCTTTGCTCACTAGCTAACCAATAATGAAAATCAAAATATCTCCTGGTATTGCCAGATGCTCACACTGGAGAACTTACTGCCCAGCTCACTGTGTTCTTGTCCTCTCTCTGCTTTCTCTTGTGTGGGTGTACATTGTGGTTTTGTTATTGACATAGGACTAGGGTTTAAAGGCACCAACATATGTGCTCAATCCAGAAATAATATTAAAAAGTTTTCATTCCAAAGTTGTTTTCTTTATAATGCCTTTATATGCTTTCTTTATTTTTTGTTTTTTTATTTTTCAGGAGAAACTCAAATGAGGACCATAGGAATAAAACTAGAAAACATTATTTTTGAGGTTTTTCAGGTGGGCCTTGTTCTGTCCTGAATCTCAGATGTATAGTTTTATGATTTTATGTGAACTCCCTTTCTCTTGGTGGGAGTCAGATGACCATAGGGGAGAGGGTACATATGATTGAGTTTCACAGAATTTGAGCCAGGATGGACTTTTGTTGATTGGAAAAGGGCTTCTTTGCTTTTAACATGTTGTATAACAATTATACTCTGGCTTTAGGAGAAATGCAGCTCTGTGTCCATTTGTTTTTTTTCTCCAAGAGGTAAAAAGTTTTAGTTTTAAAATTTAGATATCTAAAAGTAAGTGTCCAGATTGCTAGCCTTATATAGCTATACAACCTTAAGTATAAATAAAAATTGAGTTCCGTGGTTTCACTAGCCACCATTCCAGTCTGAGTAGTCCTATGACTGTTGACTGTCCTGTGATTGAGGGTTTTCCCAGGCAAACACACTTTGTATCCCATTGACAGTTCCACACAGATCATGGAGTACATGAGTGTCAATGAGCTTTTTATAGAGTTGGACTTGTTCACCATCATACATCATGAGACTGCACAATCATTTTCTTTTTAAAGCTTCAAATTGTGGGAAGAATTCTCCTTACATGGATTAAAATTCTAGTAATGGTGTCTTTGGTTTGACTTCTGTGGCTTTACTTTTACCATTTTCCCCCCAGACAGTGCAGTGCTTGCTGGACAGTGGTGCAGATATCAACAGGCCCAACGTGTCAGGAGCCACTCCTCTGTACTTTGCTTGCAGGTATGATGCTCTGTGTTTTCAGACATGCTTCCCTTAACTGTATTTTCACACACAAATATCTGTGTGTGTTTTCCCAAGCTCTCTTATTTTCCTACAGATGCTTTGCTGTCATTGAGCATGATAAAAATTCTGTTACTTAATTGTTGGAGAGATCATATTCTGTTAATATCATTACTGCTATTTTGAGATACGATCTTCTCTGTAACCCAGGGTTGTTTAGAACTCTACAGTGTAGCTCATGGCTGGCCTCAAACTTCAGGTCCTCTTCCCCCATCTCTATAACGCTGGGATTATAAGTGTGAGCCATTACGCTCAGCATTTCATTTCATTGCTAGTGCCTTCATCTTGTTGGTGGAGCTGTTTTTGTTTCCTTGACTACTTCAGTTTTAGGACAGAGCAGTAATCCAGTGGGTTCCACAGTTTAATAAGTACCTAGGTCTGTTCCTTTGGAATAAACTGTTGGATATGACTTGGTATGTGTTATGTATCCTGTTTTTTCTCTACTGTCTTAGTTATTTTTCTTTACCTGTTCATTTGTTTTCTAACTCTTGTAAGGACTTTTGGAGGACTTGCCTAGCACTTTCAAGGCCATTCTGTTGTTCCCAGCACCAGGGCAGTGAAAAAGCCAACTTAACACCAACAACACAAAACAAATCCTGGGGAGTAATACAATAAATAATTATATATGCATACTTGTTCCCATTCACATATACCTCTATATGTTTGTAATGTGTCACATAGAGGTAGTTTGTAGTTAGGAACAGTGTAGAGAACTACTACAATGATTCTTTTTGCTCTGTAATCCTATAGTTGTCCCTTGGTATCCTTGGGGATTGGTTCTAGAACAACTTTCCTCCCCTGATGAATAGCCAAATCTAATACAAAGTTCTTGATGTAAAATGCCAAAGTATTTATATGTAATCTTTCTCCATAGCTTAATCTTCTCTGTACTACCTATATCTACTATAAACGTTGTGCAGATAATTCTACTGTGTTGTTTGAGTAATGATAAGAGATAAAGTATGTACATATTCAGTATGGGTATAACTGTTATATGCGTGACTGTATTTTCAGTCAGTATGGCTAATTACATGTCAATTATAATAGTCATTCATTTAGATTTTTATAGATTGTAGAAATTTCTTACCCTTTTTATACCACTTAAAATGATTTATTTTATTTTATGTATATGTGTGTTTTGCCTGCGTGTACGTGATGTACATGCTTGCTATCTAAGGAGCCCAGAAGAGGGTGCCCAGTCTGGAACTGGTCACAGACAGTTGTTAGCTGTCATATGGATGCCGTGAATTGAACTTGCATCCTTTGCCAGAGCAGCAAGCACTCTTATACACTGAGCCATCTTTATACCATTTTGCTAGAAGTTTATTTTCAACAGAAAGATGTGCCTTTTTCTTGTTTCTCCTTGATACAGACCACCTGTTAATTTTAATTTTATTAATCTTAATTGTGGTCCATCCAGGGCGGTATGTACACATAATTATATGTGCCTATGGAGGCCAGAAGAGGGTGTCAGATGCCCTGGAGCTTGTGGTAGAGGTGACTGTCACTGACCTGCTGTTCTGGAAATTGAACTCAGGTCCTCTGCAAGAGCAGTACATACTTTTAACTACTGAGCTTTCTCTCCAACATTCTTAAACCCTTTATATGAGGCTGTTTCCAAAGCACTGTAGTGATTCTTTTATAAATGTAATATATATTATTTTTTAAAAATTATAATCATATCATTCCAGTCCTTCCCTCACTCCATCCCCTCCCATGCAACCCTGCTTGTTCTCTCTCAAAATTAATGGCCTCTTTTTCTTTGGTTGTTGTTTCATACACATTCTCTCTCTCTCTCTCTCTCTCTCTCAAGTATATAAACATGACCTCTATGTATATGATCTTTTAAATTTAAATTATATGAATTGTGAAACTTAATGAAGCTGTTATATTCAAAGGGTTTTATGTACAAGAGGTTTTTTATTTTTAGTAAGTGTTCTAGTTCTTGTCTGAGTTCAGTAGTGTCTAATTCTTATGATTTGATTGATTGGCTGATAGTCAATTCCATGATGATATGAATTTATGAAAAATATTAGCTTGGGTTTCTGAAATAATTTTCTACTTTTCATATTAAAATTTTTTGAACATCTTATTTATGATTTTTATTATGTGTATGGGTGTTTTGCTTGTATATGTGTCTATACACCATGTGTATGCAGTGCCTTGGAAGGCCAGAAGAGGGTGTCAGATCTCCTTGAACTGGAATAACAGACTGTTATGAGACACCATTGTGGGTGCTGGGAATTGAACCTGGTTCCTCTGGAAGAATAACCGGTGCTGAGTCAAATCTCCAGTAAAAATTTACTTTAAATTTTTCCCCATATTCTATCTTGGCTGTTTATTTTTAAATTAGACATTCCTTTGAAGTGCCCGATTTGATTGTTCATGGGCAGTTGTATTATTGTAAAATCTCAGATTTTAACATGTCCAGAATATAGCATCTTATTTTTCTCTTGGTATCTTTCTTGTGCCCCTTGTTCCTCCTCCTTATTCAATGCAGAAGTCAGATTATTATTTCTTAGTATTCTCCGACTGTGCACTTGGACCCTATTCTTAATAGTAAGTTCTTTAACATCTGCCTTCAGAACATGTTCTGTGTCTCTAGACTCTCTTTAAAATGACAAAATTTCAAGTTGTTAATCTCTCTTAGAGCACTGAGGAGTCAGTCTACCTAGTCTCCCTGACTCCACTTTTGTTTCCCTTCAGTGTCTTCCTCAGCAAAGCGACCCTTGGGGTAACTTCTTGCCATTTTAGAACTTTTCAGTGCTTCTTTGTTGTGTTTCAAATAAAACCTCGATTGTTTTGCCTGTGAGACTTACTCAGCTCCACTCACTGTGCTTTAGCCATGCTGGTTCTCTTTGAGTTCTCTGAGTGCAAATGTCCACTGTGTTTTTCTGCATGATGTTTTGCCTGTTGTGTTGTGCTTGGTGTTTTGTGTGACTTGCTCCTTCATGCCACTGCTTTAACTGTTTCTTGGTTCTACCCCCAGCCCTGCCTTTTCTTTAGTTAGGAGTGTGATCCAGACTGGCCTCAACGTTGTGATCCTCCTGCTTCTGCCTCCCTTGTGCTTGGATTATAGACCTGTATTGGCAAACCTGCTGTCTTGGTGTGGTTTTTGTTGCTGTGATAAAACACTGACTAAAAGCAACCTGGGAAAGAAAGGGCTTATTTGGTTTACACATGCTGGGTCACACAGTACATTGAGGAAAGCCCAAAAAGAATTGGAGGCAGGAACTTGGAGGCAGGAACCGAATCAGACTCTGGAGGGGCACTGCTTACTGGCTTGCTCTTCATGCCTCGCTCAGCCTGCTTTTACATGCCACTTGTGACCTCCAGCCCAGGGTGGATTTGCCTAGAGTGAACTGTACAGGTCAGTCTCTTATATCAATCATTAATTTAAGAAGATGCCCTACAGACTTACCTACAGCATATTTGACGGAGGCATTTTTCTTAATTGAAGCTTTTCATCCCCAATAACTCTGGCCTGGAACTCACAACAGCCCTTCTACCTCAGCCAAATGCTGGGGTTTTTTTTTTGGCATGAACCTCCAACTTGGCTGTTAGGTTTTCATTTAATAAGCACTGAATCTCTTTGACAAAAAGATAAGTGAAACTAAAAGGAAATGTCATTGTAGAAAATGATATATAGTGCACTGTTCATTTGAAGCCACCTCTTTTTGTTTTTAAACTGTCTTTATTTCTGTGTGGTGGCACCTGAGTGTGTGTGTGTAAGCTACTGCATGTATGTGGAGGTCAAAGGAGAATAGTAAGTATTTAATAAGCCCAGGTGATTCTCCTGTCTGTGCTTCTCAAATAATGCTAGTGTTATAAGTGTACATGCCTGCCTGTTTACATAGATGCTAGGGAATTGAAATCAGTTCCTCATGCTTGCCCAACATGAAGTTTTAACTCACTGAGCCATCTCTGCAATCCTGAAGGCATGCTTTTACTGTGGTTTCTAGATCCCCAGGTATTTTCTCTATTTACAGATAACTTTTATTAGGAAAAGTAAGATAAAGTGATATATATATGTAAATTACATATATATATGTAAATTGGTAAGATACCAAAGTAAGATAAAGTGATATATATATGTAAATTACATATATATATGTAAATTAGTAAGATACTTTTGGAGTCTTCCAGGTCTTTGTAGAGTTACAAAGGTATAAGCTTCAGAACATAGAGTATAATTCCTGTCAAACAGTTCTCTTTGGTTAGAGAACTCAGAATCAAAATAGTATGTAAAATAACCTTTACATTTAAATCCATAAACTTAGGGAATAGTAAAATATTTCTGTTCATAAGCAATTTAAAAAGTTACTCTAGTGGAAGTTCTTAGATATTAAGGCTGAAAAAGCCCATTAGAAAGCTGAAGAATTTTGAGAAACAGTTATATTTTCATAAACTACACCATAATGTGCTTGTAAAGAATATTATCTCATTCAAAATAAAAATGAGTTTTTCTAGGGAGTGAGTTAGTTTTCTTTAATGGTGTGGCCTCTGGTAGGTTGACAGCTCTGCACTGGACAGCCCCATGCCCAGAGTATATGGCTGGCACATGTTGAACTCAGTGTGTTATTGAAAATATAATAAAAAAAGAAAAGGAAAAAGGACATGAAATTGCGGGGAGCATCTGCAAAGATTTAGGAGGAAGATATATATGAAATTATCATAGAATTAATAAAAATATTGATATACATATAAAACTAGCCTTAATTTTTATAAAAAAATAATTGCCTATTCAGTAAACCTACCTAGTTATTTGGCTTAAAAATTCTGTGTGTCCCCAAATGATGCTGAAATATAGTCAACTGTTCAAAACATTAGCCTACTGGGGTGGGTGTGTAGGTAACCCAAAATACACTGCAGAGCTTCCCATTGAGGCCAATTGTACTCCCATTTGTATCTTAGCTACAAAGCATTACATGTCGTCTTGTTTGTTTTTATGTATTTTAGTGGATATAATTGTAAAGTAAGTGGATATAGTTATAGAGATGACTATTAAAAAACAGTTGGCAATTAAAAAAAGCTGGTCATGATAGTGCTGGTCTTTAGTTTCAGCAATCAGGAGGCAGAGGCAAATGGATCTCTGTAATTCAAGGCTGTCCTGGTCTACAGAGCATATTCCAGGCCATTTGGGGTACATAGTGAGACCCTGTCTCAAAAATTAAAATATTCTTTCTGTAACTCTTCATAGGAGTTACAACTCTGCAACTCTGTCATAGGGTAGTTGTAAACCGTTACAGTTTTACATATATGACACGAAGAGCACTAACTGCTCTTCACATTTTTTATATTATAAGCAGTTGCTTCTTGGTTTTAATCCATTTTTGAAATGAAATGAAATGTCACTGCATTGTAAATGTTAGGTAGTTTTAGAAATCCAGCTTTCTCAATATGTTGTAGTGGCATTTGGTTTTTTTTAATGCTAAATATTCTTTTTTAGAATAATTATATCTAGGGCTGGAGAGATGGCTCAGAGGTTAAGAGCACTGACTGCTCTACCAGAGGTCCTGAGTTTGAGTCCCAGCAACCACATGGTGGCTCACAACCATCTGTGAAAAGATCTGGTGCCCTCTTCTGGCCTGCAGGCATACATACAGACAGAACACTGTATACATAATAAATACATAAATCTTTAAAAAAAATTATTTCTATAATTTTCTTTACAAAAAGTTTTAAAATTTTTTACATGTATTTCCCCTGCTTGTATGTCTTTGTATCATGTGCCTAGTATGTACATTGGTCAGAAGATTCTTTGGACCTCGAGTAACAGATGACTGGTAACTACTGTGTGGGTGCTGGGAACCAGCCCCTGATCTTCTGCAAGAGTAGCAAATGCTTTTAACTGTGGAGCCATCGCTCCAGCCCCAAGATTTATTTTACTTTAAATTGTGTGTGTGTGTGTGTGTGTGTGTGTGTGTGTGTGTGTGTGTGTGTGTGTGTTCTGAGTGCTAGTGCCTCCAGATGCCATAGTTATTGGATCTCCCTGGCACTGGAGTCCCAGGCATTGTGAAACACCTGACATAGGTGAGCTGGGAACTGAGCCTAGATACACTGTTAGCCCCCAAGCTGTCTCTTCAGCCCTCATGCTAATAGTTGGTTTTGTTGTATGTAGCCAAAAAATTTTATATGGAGGCTTTAATAAACAAATCGATGTATCTACTATTTGTTAATGTTGAGCAATTACATTTTCTCTTGAAACAGTGGGTGAACCTTTTCAAAAAGAAACTTTAGACAGATTAGATTAAGCACAGTTGATTTGCACAGAGAGCACTTCATAAACTGGATAGTACTCAAACTAGAAGTGATTCAGTGTGCTAGCAGTGTCTGCACAGTGAGCTCTTAGGCTAAATGTGGATGATGACTTGAGTGGGCGCAGCAATGCTTTGGGCTTATTTGATCATGATTGGATGGGTTGGCTGAAACCTAATCTTTGGACATGGGGTAGAACACGCAGTTTGTCTCACTCACCACACAGATGAGGCGTTTCCTCCCCACCAGGAGCCAGCAGTGGAACATCTTCTAAGTCAGGTCTTACACCATCTACTGGTGACCGTGCCTGATCCTGCAAGTGTGGGCTCAGTCCCAGGGGAATGCTTTGCACCTTAGGCACTTGATGTAATTCTCACCAGCTGCAGTTTCTGAATTGGCTGCCGGCTGGGCTGGGCTTCCTAGGACTCCCTAGGATAATTGCTAGGGTTTGGATAATTTGCTAGAGTGGCTCAGAGGACCCAAGGCAACACTGTGTTTATATTTGTTAGATTCTGAAGGGGAAGAGGAAGGGGATTTTAAGAGACACAAGTAAGCACCAGACACGGAAGGAAAGGTCTAGAAGGTTCTCAAGTGTAGGCTCTTTAGCTCTTGTAGAATTGAGATGCACTGTCCTCAGGGCACTTGGGTAGCTTCTTAGTCACCTACTTTCCTGCAAGGCTGCCTTTTCTTAGCTAACCACAAGTTCTCCAAGTCCTGACTTTTTTTTTTTTAATAGAAACTTCATTGTGTTGGCAGGGCTGAAACATGGGCAGTGAAAATGCTGTTGGACCAAAAGGGGTGTGACTTAATATATTAGGACAGAGTGGCAATCCCAACAGGGTGTGTTGTTATGATAAATCTTTTCGCCAAAAGCCGCCCAAGCCGTACCGCCATGTGGGTGCTTTCTGCCAGCTGCCTAAGTTCTACCCGCAGAGTTAGGGTCCCAAATAATACATAGAGACTTATATTAGGTACAAATGCTGCTTGGCCAATGACTAAGATTCTCATCTGTTAGCTCAGTCTTAATTATCATAAATCTATATATTTTATAAGACTTATCAGACACCTTCCATTGGCGTCCTCATCCCGGGATCACGTGGTAACTCTGGAGGAAGAGAGAAGGCCCACGTCCTTCTTCCCTTGTTTATGTATGAGTCTCTCTGCTATGTCATTTCCTGTCCCGCGCAATCGCCTCGCCAGCAAGAACGACACAGGACATTCGGATCCTTCTGCAGTAAAGCTTTAATGCGTCTTGAGAGGAGAGCATAAGCTTACCAGAGCGGAGACCCCGAGCCAAGAATCCCGTCCCCTTATAAAGGATCACAAGCTCTGAGTGATGCGTGTACAGCTGGGATAGGTGCATGACTCGTCACCCTATATGACGCCATGGAATAGGCGGGGCTAGGCAGTGGAAAAACACTGGGCACATGTATACCTACGTTGTTTACTTGATCCGGCATGTCAGCGCCATCTTGTAATGGCGAATGTGAGTGCGGCTCCTCACAATTTCCTGCCTAGATCATCACTTCTTTACACATTTCCCAGAATCCTCCTTGACTCCTAGTCCCGCCTAACTTGCTGCCTCATTGGCCAAACAGTACTTTATTCAACAATCACTAAGATGAACATACACAGAAGTACATTCCCCATCAGTGTGCCTGTGCAGAGTCTTCATGGCCTTTGGGGCAGCATTCCTTTTTCTTAGGTAACATAGGGCACCTTCCGAAAGGAGATCTTGTGCTGGATCCTTGCTCAGGTAGAGCAGAAAAATGTCAGAGCAGTAGTACAGGTTTAGGTTCTGTGACTCACTTAGGGAAGTTTGCTTTTAGGAAACAAGGAGCAGGTTGATAAAGGGCCATAGAGTGCTGAAGAGCTTTTGGCCCCAGCCGACTAGCAAAAATTGCCTTTTACTTGATTGTTCCCAAACTACTTCAAGAACCAATGCCAGGAAGCCAAATACTCTAACCTTACTTTTCTAGTTATTTAAGACATAACAAGCAATTATGTAAGAACTAGGAAGTGTGTATGAACACACACTAATGCACGCATGTGCAAGTGCTTGAGCACACACACACACACCCTGTCACATCTGAATATTTGTTATGAGCAGTGTACTTGTACTTGCTTATTTACTGTTAGGTTGCAGTTTGTTGCCTAGGAGCTCAAGTACAGGGATAGCTTTTAGGCTATTGGTTTCCTGCCTATTTGACAACTGTTAAAGCGTTGTCCCAGTTATGCTTGCTTATCAAGTGTATGAAATACTAAGTTAAAGCTTACAGTGTAATTTATAGAATGTGATGTGTACATGTTAAAAGCCAATACCATTCTTTGTGTTGTTGAACAAGTTAGCTCTTTAGATATTGACAGTTCAGGGACTGGAGAGATGGCTCAGCAGTTAAAAGCACTTGTTCTTGCAGAGGACCAGTGTTCATTTCCCAGCACCCACATGGGGACTAGCAGCCATCTGTAGCTCTGTTCCAAGAGATCTGACTTCCTCTTGACTTCTGAGGGCACAAGGTACATACATGGTGCACATTTTTACATGCTGGGAAAACATACATATAAAATAAATGTAAAAAATTTAAAAGTTGATAGATTAATTGGAAAGATTGAACACATGGACATTATTCAATTGTAAGGTTATTGAAACTTGATTGTTTTTATAAAATCAGTCATACTGCAGAGATGTCACTGCCTCTAACATAGATTAATCTTACCTTGGTTACTTTCTGGTTTTATTTTTGGGCATGGTAAGGAGCAGCCTAGCATAGGACAGTATGAATTAACCACTGTTATAATAGCTGTGTAATGTTTTGACTGGTACTACCAGATTAATAACACTGATGCCTGATGAAGACTTCTGAGCCTCCTGCTTGAGGCCTATTAAATCACAGCTGTGAGACTGAGACAGAATTGCCCTGAGTTTGGGACCAGCCAGGACTACAGAGTGAGACTCTTCTTGTTGAACATTAATAATGCTAATTACTGTTGTTTTCAGAGGACTGATGTACTGTCTTTTTTTCTTGTATGCTTTGTGTAAATATTATTAAAGATTTATTTACTTATTTGATGTATGTGGGTGTTTTGCCTGAATGTAGGTCTTTATACCACTTACGTGCTTTGTGCCTGCAGAGGGCAGAAGAGGGTATTGTATCCCTTGGAACTTGGAACTGGAGTTTCACTCAGTTGTGAGCCTCCATGTAGGTACTGGGAATTGAACACAGGTCCCCTGGAAGAGCAGCCTAACTGCTGAGCCATCTCTCTAGCCTCCTAGATACTATTCTTAAGTTAGTCTGGTCACTTGGTGCATGTATCAGGGAAGGTAGTTACTGTTGTCATATATCAACAGAATGATAAAACCTATTATAATTGTTCTTTGTGGCACTAGATTCATAGCAGGACACTATGAATGTTTAATTCAAATTGGCTATGTTATTTTTTTATACAGTACCATTTGGTTGAAATACAATGAGGTTGTTTTTTAATTTGTTTCCATTTTGGGAAATATGTGTAGTCTTTATTGCTGTAAATCGATGTGCCTCTGTAGAGGATACTAGTGATCTCATTTATAGAGAACAAGTTAAATTAAAAGATTAGACTTTTAATTTGGTTCTATTTCTATGCAGTCATGGTCAGAGAGATACTGCACAGATTCTTCTGTTACGAGGAGCCAAATATTTACCAGATAAAAATGGAGTAACCCCTCTAGATTTATGTGTACAGGTATGCTTTTAATTCTTATTATGAGCCCATTTATGATAGAAATTATAAAATAATTCTATTTTAATATATATATTATTAAAATATAAAATAAAAAATATTAAAAATGTAATAAATTACTTATGATAATTAATTTATTATATTAAATTAATATGAAAATATAATAAAATCATGTTTTTCGTAAGTGAGAGTACAAAGATGTTTAGCCTGTGAAAACTATGATATTTAAAAGTCTGTTTGTTTTTAAACTTGAGTAATGTGAATCTTGTTTTTAGGGTGGATATGGAGAGACTTGCGAAGTATTAATTCAGTATCACCCAAGGCTTTTCCGGACTATTGTTCAAATGACACAGAATGAAGACCTTCGGGAAAACATGGTAGCATAAGTTTGCTAATAGGTTGTAAATGAATAATAATAATTCTGTTGTCATGATTGTTTTAATAACTTGAGTTTGTTATGTATTATGTAGCTATGAATTATAGTTAGCCCCTGGCATGTGGGGATTCGGCGGCCAAAAATCAATCAGTTGTTGATCAAAAACACTGTAATTAAGCTTGGACAGACTCTTTGTCATTGTTTCCTAAAGAATATGATATAACAGCTATTTACATAACACTTATATTTTATTGGGCATGATAAATTAAGTGAAGATGATTTCAAGTTTATAAGAGAATATGAACCGAATATGTGCACTTGCTATGTCTTATATAACATACTTGAGCATCTATAGGTTTTGGGTATGTGGGGACAAATTAGAGCTTGTTACTAGGAATTTTGAAGTGTAACTGTATATAATAGTGTATCTTGTCTGATGTTTGGCCCTCTGAATCATCTGTCTGGCTCTTTGGTCTCTCCTTAATATAACTCTTCCTCATGGATAGAGCAAAAGGATGTGAAGGAGGAATGTTGTGTAATGACCAGTGGCCATTTGTTCCCTAGCTCGTTTTCTTGTTGTTTTTGTGGTCCTGTGGTGTGAACCTAGGCACTCCTGAATTCTGCTGAGCTACATCCCCAGCCCGAGCTTTGTGTTTTTAATAGGGTTAGTCATGGAAAAATTGCAGACTTGGAAACCTTTGTAAACATTAGAAGTTTAGAATTAAATTTCTACTTACATATTTGATTTCCCTTGTGTATCTTTTTAACCGGATAATTTTAAAGATTTTCTTTATTAGTTCTTAAATTTATATAAAGCAAAATAACTGTAAAGTTCCTGATTTTAGTCAGCTGGTTTCAAGGTATTTACTACACTAATATTTGTGTACATTTTGATAGAATTTAATGGGTCACTTAGTGTGTAATCACTTTGTTTTTAATTGCTATAAAACCAGTTACGGCAAGTTCTGGAGCACTTGTCTCAGCAGAGTGAAAGCCAGTACCTAAAGATTCTGACAAGCCTTGCTGAAGTGGCTACAACAAATGGTCATAAACTGCTTAGGTAAGCATTTCTGTACAGCAGTAAAGAGTAGTATCCGTCTTCTTCATCTCCTGAATAACTAAATATCTTTTGTCATTGGTCAGGTGTTTAAAAATTTTGCTGACTTACTGTATTAGTAAACTTTTCTAAACTATGCTAAAACACCATGTCTTTGGCAACTTAGTGAAGGGTTTATTTGGGCTAAGGTTACAGAGGGATAGGAGGCCATCGTGGCAGGAAAGCCTGGCAGCAAGCGGCTGATGAGGCAGCTGGAGCAGCAGCTCAGGGCTCATGCTGTGACTTGAGAGCAGGAAGCTGGAGCAGGCTCTAAATGGTGCACTCCAGCTTCCGGCTTTCCCAAAGTGCCTCCAGCTCCAGACCAAGCAGGTGAAGACTGCAGAGCTTCTTATTCAAACCACACTCTGGCTGTTCTTTGTTTTGTTTAAAAAAGGCCTAGATGATCAGCTGTTGTTCAAGAACAGTTTTAAAGAAACCTAGGGCATGTGAATGTGAAATTTGGCATGTGTATATGGAACTTAATACATATCTTGGGTGTGGTCATACTTCCTTTCAGTCCAGGAGTTCAGGGTAACCTCAGCTACATAGTTGGTGGCCAACCTGGGCTACATGAGAAAATAGTTCAGGAATGTGAATCTCTGACTTACAAAATTGGGAGCATCCCATTGTTTAACCTTTCAGTGTTCCTTCATGATTCATTGTAAAGTTGTTTGGTTTTTTTCTGTACTTTCCCTGCCCCTAGTCCAGGTCTTAATTCTTTTTAGAGGTTATGATGGGGAATGTACTATATATGTTTATCTTATTGATAGTTAAATAAAATACTGTTTGGCCAATGAGATAGCAAGTTAAACAGGACTAGGAGTCAAAGAGGATTCTGGGAAATGTAGCAGAGAAGTGATGATCCAGACAGGAAGTGACATAGCAAGGAGACTCATATTTAAGCGAAGGAGAAACAGGAAGTGCCCTCTTTCCCCTCTGCTCCTGCTCCTGCGGCACAATGTGAACCACCGACAAAGAGGGACGCCATTAAGGGGTCCGATAAGATAAGTCTTATAACATATATAGATTTATGATAATTAAGACTGAGCTAATAGATGAGAAGTCCTAGTCATTGGCCAAGCAACTTTAAACCTAATACAAGTTTCTGCGTATTCATTTGGGCCTAACTCGGGCAGGTGGATGGCGTAAAGCTCACATGTGGTGGTGGGGCTCAGGCAGCTTTTGGCAGAAAGATTTATTGTAACAAGGTTATATGGTTTTAATGACTTATCGCTATATCTAAGGAGTTAAGCTTTATGTTACTTGACTTTTATATGTAGCTTATATATATTCTGTACTTGTTTGTATGTGATTAGCACTCCAATTAGGAAACAGGCAACTATTACCAAGTACTTAGTGTGTTACTGTTCCTTAGCTTATGGATTTGACCCTCTTCTAATTTGAATGCGTTCTTCTTTGTATTTTGGTAACCTTTTACCTCCATAGTTACTACTGACCCTTTTTCTTTCTAATACCATATAAAAGACATGAATAGAAAGCTACATTGTCAAGGTTACTATTACTCAGGTTTCATTGTTCCTGGGAACATTTTGTGTACCTAAGATAAAGTCTTTCTGCCCTAGTCCCTGCCTTCTTTTTCTGGATAGGGTCTTGGTATGAAGCCCCGGCTGGCTTTGAACTTGTTGTCCTCATGTTACACGCTTTAGTGTAAGAATACATTTGGGAGCTACTTATTCCTGGTTACTTTCCATGCTCACATACTCTGTACTTGAAAGGCCTTCTGCTAATTCATATGACCAACTTGCTTGCTTGTTTTTCCTAATTTGCTTTTGATAACCTCTTGGAAGCACTTAGATTCTTCATCTATAAGACTCATTGAAGCTGAGATTGCCACAATGTGTTCCTTTCACTTTATTTTAGTTATTCCCAGCAACTATTGTATATGATGAAACCTAAGGTTTAGACAGGCTAATTAAAACATAGTACAAAAGTGGAGGGGCAGGAATGGGGACTGTACTATTGTACATTATGTACATATATGAAATTCTGAATAAAAAACATATGTAGTTATTTCCATTCAGCTTCTTTATTATGTGAGTTGTAATTTGTGACTATTAAAATCATAATTGTTTTTAAAAAAGCAGAAAACAAAAAACATGGTCTATGGGCTTTGGAGTCGGCCAGATTCAGGTGTAAGTTCAGATGCTATATACTAACTCTGTGATCTCAGCACAGACTTTTTGGAGTTCTCTTCACTGTTCACCAATACATCTGTTGCATATTTTTGAGTGTTTCCTATTTACCAGGCCAACTGTTGGGTGATTATGAGTAAAACACATGATGTCTTCCTATACTGAATTTATACTTTAGTTGAAATTTTATTCCATTTTTTAAAGAGTCACTGTTAGAACTGACTGAGCTAAATGTATATGGCGAAGGCACAGTAAACTTGATGAGTAAATTTGCATAAAAGCATTCTTTTCTGCTCAAAAGTTTATGCAGTTTTTGGCCTTTTCTTTCTTTTTTTTCCCCTCTGGCCCAGTTGCTATAGAAGATGACTGATGTTTAACAACAAATCTTTAAGATTTCAAAGTAAACCCAATTTCTGAACACAAAATCTTACTATGATACTCAGTATGGTTTAATGTTAGCTGAATTGGTCTTTGATTTTCATGGTTGAGAGTATTTACGATGTTTATGTAGTTATAAGACAATCCATTATATAGGTAATGACCCTAGTGCAGATGATCAGGTAACATTAGCATACAATTTGTTACTGTTTGTGTGAATACTTCATTCCTGCTATTCTGAGGGAATATAGAGTTATGGACAGAGTGATGGAGCTTCAACCTCTCGGTTAAGATGGTTGTATTGTGTGTTGACCTAGAATTAATGTTTATACTATTGTTCCTCTGGGAAATATTTCCAGAGTTCTAAACAATTGGTTTAATTTATAGGTATACTTTTAGAAGTGAACAAATTGCTAAAGTTTGTATCCAAAGACACCATCTATTTTGAGTGGGTAATTTTCTTCATAGTTTGTGCTTTGATCATTGGTTATATCCTGGATGGTTATAAATTAGAGACCTGTTTATTTGTAGCACAAATAATATATATTTACTAATATATAGTAACATATTAATACTATGTTTCTGTTCAACCATTCTGTCTCCTAGAGTGGTAAGAAATTATACCACAGATAATTCATGAAACAGATGGTTAGTGGGCTAAATATGCTTTAATATAAGTATTTGAAGATGAATTTGTTTGGCTGCACCTAATCTGTTTATGTTTTAACTTTTTCATTTTCAGCTTATCAAGCAATTATGATGCTCAGATGAAGAGCCTTCTAAGGATTGTGAGGATCTTTTGTCATGTCTTTCGAATTGGCCCCTCATCTCCCAGTAATGGAATCGATATGGGCTACAATGGGAATAAAACTCCAAGAAGCCAGGTGTTCAAGGTCAGAGAAGTAGTTGTTAGGAAGGTAGATGTAAAAGAGATGACTGTAACACAGCATGCATCCCTTAATCAGAACCTCCTGGACAGGATTTAAGTTTGCTGCATAACTTGGTCACATAGTTTCCCTTCCATCTCAGTCTAATGAATAGGATTTAATTGGTAAGTTTTTTTTTTTTTTTAATATATTTTTCCTTACACATAAATTGATCTCAAGAGTGTTTTTTTTTTGGGGGGGGGGATTGAGATATTTAGTATTAAAGTAATTGCACTGAATTTCAGGTTTGCTTATTTATTTTACACAGTATTAGATGTTGAAGCTAGGGCCATCTTTGTGCAATGTAAGCATGTGACGTACCGAGTTAACCCTAGTTTATGTTTTACTTTTTACTTGGAGACAGGATCTCATTAAGTGGTTGACTGACCTGTTCCTTGTTCTGTAGCCCAGGCAGGCCTTGAACCTGACCTCACCCTGCCCCTCCTAAGTAGCTGGGATTACAAGTTATAACCACCAGGTCTAGCTCAAATGATGAGTTTTAATGCATAATGTAAGCCATCATTTTAAAAATGTCTCACTAGAAGAGAAAACAATCTAGTTTTGTTCAATTTTATTATGAATACTCTGTGTCTGTGTTTGTATTTTACAAGAAAGACTACTTTTTTTTTTATTTTAAGAAGTACTATGTATACAGTGTTCTAATTTCATATATGCCTGCAGGACAGAAGAGGGCACCAGATCTCATTATACACAGTTGTGAGCCACCATGTGGTTGCTGGGAATTGAATTCAGGACATCTGGGAAGAGCAGCCAGTGCTCTTAACCTCTGAGCCATCTCTTCAGCCCCACCTCTTTTTCTTAGTAGTTCTGTTAACAATTCCTGGGATTATTTTCATGAAGAATGTTTAGGATTTTTTTTTAATGATTTATTTATCTATGTACCTTGGTGTTTTGCCTAAATGTATATCTGTGTGAGGATGTTGGATCTCCTGAAATTGGAGTTACAAACAGTTGTGAGCTGCAGTGGTTGCTGGGAACTGAACCTGGGTCCTCTGGAAGAGCAGCCAGTGCTGAGCCATCTCTCCAGCCTATATTTGGGATTTGTTACTTTGTATTACTTTGACTACCCCCCCCTTTAAGATCTATGTATGTATGTATGTATGTATGTATGTATGTATGTAATGTATGTATGTATCTATCTCTATCTTTGTTTATTTACTTAATGTATGCTCTATCTGTGTGTATGGCCTTTATGCCAGAAGAGGGCATCAGATTCCACTATAGATGGTTGTGAGTTACTATGTGGCTCTGGGAATTGAACTCAGGTCCTCTGGAAAAATAGCTAGTGCTGTTAATTGCTGAGCCATCTCTTCAGCCCCATAGGCTTCCTTTCCTAATGCAAGCATAGATGTCATTGCTGTTACCCATGTCAAATTATAAGTTTATGAACAAATGTCAAATTATAAGTTTATGAACAAACTGCCTATATTTATATTATTTTTTGTTATATATTTAATAAAAGACTATGGCTTGTAGTAATAACAACAAAAAAGACTGTCTTGTGCACAGCAGTGTTCCACTTAATGCCTTTTATTTTTTATGATTTTAAAGGTACTTTTACTCAAGAGGTTTCGGTACTATAAAATTTACTTTTGAGGTTCAGGAAGACATATTTCTTTTTTCTAATTAATTAATTAATTTATTTTTATTAGTTCAAATTAGGACCAAGCTTGCTTCATGTGTCAATCCTTTCTCCCTCTTCCTCCTCTCCCCTCAGCCCTCCCCTCAGCCCCCCACCTGCCTCCCACCTCATCTCCTCGCCACTCCCAGGCAGGGTAGGGCCCTTGAGGGGCTCCCCAAAGTCCATCACATCATCCTGGGTCAGCCCTAGGCCCTCCCCCATGTGTCCAGGACGAGAGAGCATTCCTTCATGTGGGATGGGCTCTTTATTAAAGTCCCTTCTTACACCAGGGAAAAATGCTGATCCACTACCAAGGGCCCCATAGAGTCCTGAGGCCTCCTAATTGACATCCATATACAGAGGTCTGGATCAGTCCCGTGCTGGCCTCCCAGATAGCAGTCTGGGGGTCCATGTGCTCCCCCTTATTCAGGCCAGCTGTTTTTGTGGGTTTCACCAGCCTGGTCCTGACCCCTTTGATCTTCATTCCTCCCTCTCTACAACTGGGTTCCAGAGTTCAGTTCAGTGTATATCTGTGGGTGTCTGCCTCTGCTTCCATCAGCCACTGGATGGGGGCTCTAGTATGGCATAAAAAGTAGTCATCAGTCTTATTATAGGGAAAGGACATTTAGGTTATCCTCTCCACTATTGCCTAGATTGTCAGTTGGTATCATCCTTGTAGGTCTCTGGAAATCTCCCTGGTGCCAGATCTCTCCTCGGATCTATAATGGCTCCTTCTGTTATGGTATCTCTCATCCTGCTCTCCTCTAATCTTCCCCCAACTCAATATTTCTGCTCCTCCATTTCCTCCTCTCCTCTCCCCTCCTCTTCTCCTGCTCTCATTCTGCCAGCTCCCTATCCCCTACCCTCATGCATCCAGTTAGATACTGGCCCTTCCCATTCTCCAGGGTCCATGCATTTTTCTCTTAGAGTCCTTCTTCTTTCCTAGTTCCTTTGTTGAAGAGGATTGTAGGCTGGTAATTCTTTGCTGTATGTCTAAAATCTATACATGAGTGAGTACATACCCTGTTTGTCTTTTTGTGACTGGGTTACCTCACTCAGGATGGTTTCTTCTAGTTCCATCCATTTGCCTGCGAATTTCAAGATTCCATTGCTTTTTTCTGCTGAGTAGTACTTCATTGTGTAAATGTACCACATTTTCTCTATCCATTCTTCAGCTGAGGGGCATCTAGGTTGCTTCTAGGTTCTGGCTATTACAAATAATGCTGCTATGAACATGGTTGAACATATGTCGTTGCTGTATGAATGTGCATTATTTGGGTATATGCCCAAGAGAGGAATTGCTGCATCTTGAGGTAGACTGATTCCCATTTTTCTGAGCAACCCATACTGATTTCCAAGTTTTCACTCCCACCAGCAATGGAGCAGTGTTCCTTTTTTCTCCACATCCTCTATCCAGCATAGATTGTCATTGGTTTTTTTATTTTAGCCATTCTGACTGGTGTAAGATGGTATCTCAGAGTTGTTTTGAGTTGCATTTCTCTGATGGCCAAGGATTTTGAGCACTTTCTTAAGTGTCTTTCAGCCATTTCAGATTCCTCTGTTGAGAATTCTCTATTTAGTTCTGTACTCTACTTTTTAATTTCATTGTTTGGTGTTTTGGTGGCTAGCTTCTTGAGTTCATTGTATATTTTGGAAATCAGCCCTCTGTCAGATGTGGGGTTGGTGAAAATCTTTTCCCATTCTGTGGGCGGTCGTTTTGTCTTACGGTGTCCTTTTCCTTACAGAAGCTTCTCAGTGTCAGGAGGTCCCATTTATTAATTGTAGATCTCAATGTCTGTGCTAATGGTGTAATGTTCAGGAAGTGGTCTCCTGTACCAATTCGTTCAAGGGTATCTCCCACTTTCTCTTCTAGAAGATTCAGTGTGGCTGGATTTATTTTGAGTTCTTTGATCCATATGGACTTAAGTTTTGTGCATGGTAACAGATATGGATCTGTCCGCAATTGTCTGCATGTCTGAATCCAGTTGTGCCAGCACCATTTGTTGAAGATGCTTTCTTTTTTCCATTGTATAGATTTAGCTTCTTTGTCAAAAATCAGATGTTCATACATGTGTGGGTTAATATCAGGGTTTTCAAGTCGATTCCATTGGTCCGTCTGTCTATTTTTGTGCCAATACCAAGCTGTTTTCAGAAATATGGCTCTATAATAGAGCTTGAAGTCAGG